GTTCATTTCTCTACCATAAGCCGTCTCCAAAGGCGTTTCAGAGAATTTGGCAGTACCAGGGTGTCCGCGGGTCCTTATAAAGTCTTAAAATGTCTTACATTTATCACACAGCACAATGCCACAGATTTAGACATATTTGTGAACAATATTTGAGAGAAATAGGCCTTTTGTGTTCATAGAAAAAGTCTTAGCTCTTTGAGTTCAGCTCATGAAAAATGGGGGCAAAAACAAAAGTGTTGCGATTGTAACGCTTTGACTCGGATAACTCGTTAAACCCATGAAATGAAAGAGATGGAAAACGAACAGTTGGGGTCCCACACATTTAATGGCTGGTACACGGCAACGCGCTCCTCTCATACATTAGAGATTAACTCTTTCTTGGCGTTACAAATAAAAGTAAAGACAAAGTAATAACAAGAAGGCAGAGCGAACTTATCATCCATAGTGGTTCTCATTACACAGTCACGTAGTCCTTCTACGTCATCACCACATAGCGCACGTTATAAGTTAAGTGATCAGTCTCTTAAAGGGCACACCGCACTATAATGTGATGCATGCAAAAACATAGTTTTGGCCGTTACACGTTTATAATTTTGTTCAGTGTATATATATATATATTATATATATATATATATATAATTTCATATTAGAATGATTTCTGAAGGATCATGTGACACTTTATACTGGAGTAATGGCTGATGGAAATTCAGCTTTGCATCATAGAAATAAATTATATTTTAAAGGATATTAAAATAGAAACCTTTATTTTATATTGTAATAACATTTTGAAAGATTACCGTTTTTTCTGTATTTTTGATCAAATAAATGCAGTCTTGATGAGCAGAAGAGACTTCTTTAAAAAACATTACAAGTCTTACTGATCCCAAACTTTTGAGCGGTAGTGTTTTTCTGTAGCTTTTTTACCTTAAACTCCCCAAAGTTGAGCAGGCCAGGCAGCTGGAATGATCCCCATTTATTGAAGTTGATCCCAGAACGAAAGAAGTTGAGTGTAAAAGTGGCAGACATGGAGCAGAACAACTTTAATACAGAAGAGAGACAGAGAGGGAATTATAAACTGAACTTTCTTAGCACAGACTGAAATTACATGACCAAAACCCTACATAATATATCCACATACCACTTTCCATGTGAGGGCCTGGTTCCAGAAGGACGACCCCTCCTCCAGACTGAAGAGGGTGCCCCCTATAGGTGCCCCGAAGGCAGCCGCAACTCCAGCCGCTGCACCCGCCGACACGAAATCCCTCTTGTCCCTGAACACAGAAACAAAATAAACAAAAATATCATTGACAAAATCCCAAATGACCATGTTTTGTTTAATAATACAAATTCCTGGTCACATTGTGCATGTTTCAATAATATTTTAAATATTATTTATTAAATAATTATTTAATATTTATAATAAATAGAGTAGGATGCAATAGGGATGGGCAATATGACCAAAATCTTAACAGAATAGGAGTAATTGTTTTCACGATTATGATATATCAAAATTGTTATTTTGCTTTAAGTAAGGTTTTTATGATATCAATTTTTGATACCAAAAATTTCACAATTCTCATCCTCAATTTCAATATCTCACACACACAAATATAATTAATACTAGCTAACTAGCATAAGTGTTAAAAAAACACCCAAGCTTACTGAAAACAAGTAAAAGAACTAAGAAACTAATTACAAGCAACAGGACAAAAATCTACAATAGAACAAAGACTCAAATGAATCAGACCTACATGAAAAACTTCAAGCACTAGAAACACGAAATGCTACTTGAATTGTATGTTATGCACAAAAAAAAGAACACTGCATAGTCTTCACTGTGTAAAAACATAAATACAGATTTATTCCTAATAACACAAGTGATTCAGTCAAGAGCAGCAAGAGATTTTCTCCCTTTTGTTGTTTGATCAGCATTAATGACACAGACAGCACCAGGTTTATTAGGCTGCTGTCACTTTAAGACCAAAAGAGCGTATCTAATATACTGATACACAAGCATTTTCTTTCTCAACTGTTAACTTAAGACACAAATGGCTGATTTTATGAGGATACTCGCGTATCAAACCGTCTCTCAGAGTGTGTGCACATATTAGGGGTTGCACCGACTAGTCGATTAGTCAACTTTAATGCTCTGCCATGACGCTTTAAGCTTGAGGTCGAGACATTTACACTCCATTTCCAGACAGTTAAAATGCCAAATAAATGCATACTCAAAAAGCGCTCTACAAGATGTGTGATTATACCATCTGGATGCTCGAAACTGAACAGGAGAAAGCTTGTTTTAAACAGCTTATTGTACAGGTAAATTAACCGCCGTTCTAATCTAATGCGCCGCTGCACTGCAACGCACACACATATAGGCTACAGACAGTGGCTCGTACATCACGCGCAGATCATGCCCGTCAACCCTGTTCTATGATTTCTCAATAATATAGCTTAGAAACTGAAAAGTTCTAGCATATAATTCTTAACTAAATCCCACTGCTTCATTATTAGTAGAGAGATGCTGCCAGGTAGAATAGGTTTGACCGCCACTTAATGCTTTACATTTATTTTGTGCAATGTTATGAATGATTCAGTGCTTGTCCTGTTGTAGTGCTCACCTGTCACTGCGGAAATAGGGAAAGTGAAAGCGGATCTTCTTGAAGGTGATGCTCTGAAACTAACCAGAGAGACAAGCATGCTTTCATAAGTTTATGACTGTGACAAGAGAGATAATGCATGAATGAATCACCCGGTTACATCCAGAACACAAAATCATTAACCATCTAAAGTATTCTCAACCATTTTGAATAGGAGAACGGCTAAAGATTAGTTTATTGTTTGGTTCATGTTGGATACATGAGCAGGTGGAGGAGTACCTGAGGAAGTCCTGCTCCTACTATCGCTCCACTGTGAATCATTGGTCCCTCTTTACCCACAAACAATCCTGAAACACAAACAATACTGAATCAGCATGGAACAACTTCAAAAAGACACATCACTGTCACTTAGCTGCATGGCTCTGATCAACGTTACCAGAATAAGTGTATTCTAATCTTTGTCTGTGCGGATATAGACTATTTTCCTCATCATTACCTCCAGCAACAGCGAACAGGACTCCTGTGACCTTACATATGAAGGTCCGCAGCCGCACAATCCCGGGAATCTTTACTCCGTTCAGGTAACTTTTAATTTCTGGGATACCAGACCCAGCTGCAACAGGCTATTACACAGAAGAAACAGATTGTATAGGCTACTACACACACACACACACACACACACACACACACACAAACTACTGTACAATTATTAATTTGGCTTTGTTTTTAAAGGGGTCATATGATGCGATTTCAAGTTTTCCTTTCTCTTTGGAGTGTTACAAGCTGATTGTGCATAGATAAGATCCCTGAAGTTGCAAAGACTAAAGTCTCAAAACCAAAGATATATTCTTTATCAAAGTTAAGACTCTGCCACGCCCCCCTAAAACGGCTCGTTCTAACACGCCCCCACATATCTACCTCACTATGTGGAAATATTAGCATATAATGCCGCCCAAATGTTCACGCAAAGAAAGGCGGCATGGTTTCAGTAACCGCAGTTAGTGTTGAAGCAGATACACAAAATAATGATCTTTAAAAAAAGCATCATATGACCCCTTTAAAGTATAACATGCATTTTTGATTTTATGTTAAATTATCTCAGACATGCATACACATATATTTTACATATACTGGCAGTTAAACGATTTCTTGATGTTTTTTTCTTTACAATTTAAAAATAACTACTTGAATATATATTAAAATGTAATTTATTTCTGTGATCAAAGCTGAATTTTCAACATCACTACTCCAGGCTTCAGTGTCACATGATCCTTCAGAAATCAGTATAATATGCTGATTTGCTGCTCAAGAAACATTTTAATATTATTACTGTATATGTATTAAATATATGCTGCATTGGTGAGAATAAGATTTATAAAAAATAAAAAAAGACTTTATTCTTGAACATATCAGCCTGAGAAGTTGTTACCTCAATGAGCACCAGAACGCTGGAGATGAATACGAACACCATATTGAGAGCCAGCAGCTCCAGTAAGGAGAGAGCTAGACAGCCATTCTCACTGCATTCCTCCACAGCTGATCCACACGTCAAGGACTCCACTCAGCAAATAGTGCAGCATTACACAATGCAGAACTGAGCCGAAAGATAGGATACATTGTCCAACCAAGCTGAACTTCAGCTGAGTGAAGAGCCGCACGAAGAAATCAACAAACAGGCCAGTCTGAATAGAAAAAATAAAATAAAAAAAATCTGAAATTTGTGCATAATCATTAGACCACAGAAATTGTAGGGAGGTGAAACTCAAACACATGACCAGTATTTCACCTTCCAAAAACAAAACAAAAATCTTGATCTTCCTAAAAAGGCTTCATTTTCTATAATAATATTTATATAATTTAATATAAATACATTTTAAATGCGTTTGAATTGTAAATATATTAAAAAAATTAAGTTTAAATATATCTGTAGGCATTTGTATGTGCTAAATGTAAACGCTAAATAATATCAATGTTAATATCGTGGACACAAAATGTTTCCAACAGAAAGAATTGATATAAGTGACTTCAAACTGATCAATTTAGTGAAACCTTTAAGATCTTGCATCTTCTTGTTTTCTCATATTGTTCTTTTATTGTCTCCCAGTGACATTTGACTTTAGCCAAATCAACTAGTGCGATCTATAATTTTCTATAAATCTCTTTCTCCGATAGGGTATAAACCACCACAAAACTCACCAGTCCTGTTGACACTCCAATCGCAAAAACCAAAATCCACTTTATCGCTTCATACCTTCTAGCTTTCTGTACGAGAAATGAGATAATACACTTGGTAAACAGGGACTTGACATCATCTGAATATAATAAATGAAGACATTACACATTTTACCTTATTATCCAACCCCTCCAAAACCTCCAGGAATGGCTCATTAATGCACCGGTCATAATCCAAACTCTGAAATGCCAAACATACATTTTTATTTATTTTTTTAAACATAAAACAAATAATCGTGTTGCAAGTCTTTTGCTTTTATTGGAAGCATGATCCGTTGTGTCCATTACTCACGAACCTCATAGTCTTTTCTCGGCAATATTTCATCCTCATCTTCTCTGGTTTCACCCAGTATTGTCTGACAAGCAAAAGGCAGCAACAAAATCAGGTTAACATGTTCAGAAAACGTAAAACCCGAATCGAATGGGTTTCCTCAGTCCTCAGAATGAACAGATGGCCTGGATCGACTCTAAACAATGGAGTCACATTTCACTTTATTATACCTAGAATAATGACTGACGCAAAAGATTTTATTATTGCATATTATTGTATTTATGATGCAATATTAGCATCACTTTACAACCATAAAGAACACATTGGCAGTATTAAACCAGGTTGATCATCATATCAAGAAATACAGCTTGTGTCTCTCATACACTGGTGAGCTCTAGACAATGATTTAACAGTGATATACTGCCCTGGTGATATATTGTCCAAAGCTGCTTCACTGGCCAAAGATGACCAATAATGTCGTCTACATAGGGAGCACACTAGACTCAGAAACGGTTACACTTTCATGATCATTGATAATGCATATTGAATTCAGTAGCTTGTTGAGTTTTACTGCTCTCAGCAGACTTGGTCTGATTGCTGAACTCATTGTTAATGTACACCTGATTCACATCAGGCTGCTTACAGTCAATGTGGGTACAGAACAGCAGATGAAGCATCAGAATGAATTCAACTAGGCGTTTTGCGTTAGGAAACAGATAAGACAAATCACATATTTTATACCAGCTCCTCTGGTGTTCTGGTTTCGCCTTCATTGCAGCAGCACTGACAACACAAACAGCCTCCACAGCACGCCATCGTCTTCAGCAGCACGCCTGATCACATGACCATCACACGGGCCAGCTGGGCTACTCAGGCGCGCGCCAGCTGCGCAGCTCTAACGCAGACGCGTCTGGAATCGAGCCCAGTATGCTACGCTACCAAAGTCCCTTTCAAGGGAATATTTCTATAGTCTTTGTATGCAACCGACTAATCTGTGATATGTGTACTAGCGATAAAGCGAATTTCCGCCACATACGGGAAAAAAAATCAACAACACATAAAATGTCTAAACTCTGAGATACTAAGTCATATTTATGAGAGCAATATATACAATGAAACGTGAGGTATAAGATAAAAGGTCAAAATTATGACATGATATGACATCAAAGTACACAGTATGAGACACTAGGCTACGCCATGATTAGTTGTTGTGCCACCTTTCTAATATTTGTATCTCGTGATTATGACTTTATCTCATTTTGTCATCATTTCGACTTTTTACGTCAGAACTTTTTTTAGTTCATAATTACGAGTTGATATCTCATTTTGACGTTTTATGTCATAATTTCGACTGTTTTATTATTGTGTATTTACAATGAGCCATTGTGGGTGCTTTGAGTCTCCAGATATAATCAGTGTTGGGGGTAACGCATTACAAGTAACGTGAGTTACGTAATCAGATTACTTTTTTCAAGTAGCTAGTAAAGTAACGCATTACTTTTTAATTTACAAGAGAATATCGGAGTTACTTTTTCAAATAAGCAATGCAAGTTACTTTTTTTCCAATTTATTGATTGACAGCTCTCCTGTCCCCATGTTGAGAGAAATCAGATGTTACTGTAGTTCTAAAATAAATATGAATATGCATTAATTCATCTCACACACAAAACACACAGATTCAGTATTCCTCAAAATGAATAAAAAATAATGCAACTCAGAATATGATTAATTAATCGAATTACTGAACCTGCAATAATTAAATGTTAAACAACACAAATATCCTTTATGTATTTAATCCCATTCTATTAACCAATGTCTTTGCTTCTGACCTTCGATGATCCAGTTGGTTTCGCCTTCATTGCAGCAGCACTGACAACACAAACAGCCTCCACAGCACGCCATCGTCTTCAGCAGCACGCCTGATCACATGACCATCACACGGGCCAGCTGGGCTACTCAGGCGCGCGCCAGCTGCGCAGCTCTAACGCAGACGCGTCTGGAATCGAGCCCAGTATGCTACGCTACCAAAGTCCCTTTCAAGGGAATATTTCTATAGTCTTTGTATGCAACCGACTAATCTGTGATATGTGTACTAGCGATAAAGCGAATTTCCGCCACATACGGGAAAAAAAATCAACAACACATAAAATGTCTAAACTCTGAGATACTAAGTCATATTTATGAGAGCAATATATACAATGAAACGTGAGGTATAAGATAAAAGGTCAAAATTATGACATGATATGACATCAAAGTACACAGTATGAGACTAGGCTACACCATGATTAGTTGTTGTGCCACCTTTCTAATATTTGTATCTCGTGATTATGACTTTATCTCATTTTGTCATCATTTCGACTTTTTACGTCAGAACTTTTTTTAGTTCATAATTACGAGTTGATATCTCATTTTGACGTTTTATGTCATAATTTCGACTGTTTTATTATTGTGTATTTACAATGAGCCATTGTGGGTGCTTTGAGTCTCCAGATATGCGCAGTGTTGGGGGTGACTCATTACAAGTAACGCGAGTTACGTAATCAGATTACTTTTTTCAAGTAGCTAGTAAAGTAACGCATTACTTTTTAATTTACAAGAGAATATCGGAGTTACTTTTTCAAATAAGCAATGCAAGTTACTTTTTTTCCAATTTATTGATTGACAGCTCTCCTGTCCCCATGTTGAGAGAAATCAGATGTTACTGTAGTTCTAAAATAAATATGAATATGCATTAATTCATCTCACACACAAAACACACAGATTCAGTATTCCTCAAAATGAATAAAAAATAATGCAACTCAGAATATGATTAATTAATCGAATTACTGAACCTGCAATAATTAAATGTTAAACAACACAAATATCCTTTATGTATTTAATCCCATTCTATTAAGCAATGTCTTCTTCTGCGTTCTACTGTACGGACGTAAATGTACTTTCCCTTCAGCCTGAGGCTTATTCATTTCACTTTTGGTGTGAAAAGGCTTTTATATTTGCCAAAAATATAACTTTTTTATTTTAAAAACAAGCTAGCAAGCCCTGTCCAGATTTTTAAAAGTAACGCAAAAGTAACGTAACGCATTACTTTCCATAAAAAGTAACTAAGTACCGTAATTAGTTACTTTTTTATGGAGTAACGCAATATTGCAATGCATTACTTTTAAAAGTAACTTTCCCCAACACTGGATATGTGTATTACAAATATATCATGTGAGATTAAACTAAAGGCTTCCAATGAAAGAGAACAGTTTGGGATAAATAGATTGACTGTTCTTTTATTTTCTGTGTGGACGTGCGCGTTTCAGCGAGTGTAGCTCATTAATTATTAATGACTACATGTGGTGTGTTTACATCACACACGATGACAGGGGGCGTGGCCCGCATGAAGGGGCGTGGTCTTTCTCCACCAGCCTCTCTATTGTCGTCCACGCTGGCCGCACGCGCTGTTCAGCAGAGCGCGCTCATAGACTGCACTCTCCTCTCATAACTCCTGGAGGATTGGGAAACGGTTGAAGGTAATGGAGGAAAGGCGTTTTTATACTATCACAGGGTCGGCGTGACTGTCTCGGTTTAGGCTAATTAAAGGGACCGGTGCAGTCACGCGGGGCCGCATGTCCCGAGCTATGAACGATATCAAAAGAAGCACAAATCAAAGCGAGTTATCATGTCATATAAATGTGTTTCACTGCGTGTTGCTTGCATTGATTGTCTGTTTGAAAATAGAGTATTTAAAAGCAACATTATTTTGAATGAACGTGTCTTCCTTATACGTGAAGTAGGCACGTTATAAACTCATCAGCCGTAATGCATTCAGCAAATATGATCGTCGTGAGGATACGACTCGTTATGTTATTCATAGAGCGCTTTTTAGGGTACTCCAGGACACTTTACAACATTTGCATACTTCTACTGGCATTTACTTCTATGAGATCGGGAGCAGCAAATGCTAAACTATGTTTTGGTATAACTCGTTATCATATTCGAGAAAGACTTGATCGCAATATTGAGTTTTATGCAGGAACATTAGGATGATTGGCAATCAGTGCTGGGTAAAGTTACCTTTAAAAGTAATGCATTACAATATTGCGTTACTTCCTAAAAAGTAACTAATTACGTTACTTAGTTACTTTTTATTGAAAGTAATGTTACGTTACTTTTGCGTTACTTTTTAAATCTGTTTTTTGTGAGTGAGATGAATTAAAGCATGTTCACATTTATTCTAGAACTAAAGTAACATCTTACTCCCGATGTCTCTCAACATGGGGACAGGAGAGCATTCAGTCAATAAATGGGGAAAAAACGTAACTGGCGTTACTTATTTGAAAAAAGTAACTCCGATATTATCTTGTAAATTAAAAAGTAATGCGTTACTTTACTAGATACTTGAAAAAAGTAATCTGATTACGTAACTCGCGTTACTTGTAATGCGTTACCCCCAACACTTCGCATAGTAGTAGTAATTATTTTAGCTGTCAGTAATAATAAATATTCAAGTAGTAAACTTTAAATTAAAAGTTTAAGTGAAACATTAGAATGATAATGTGTTAAATACTATTTAATAAAATATATTAATCATCTAATGCAACCCTGTACATTGCGAGTAAATCACTCGCATTTGCGACTAAATCTTCACTCTGGGTGACTAAATTATGTCTAATATTAGCCAATGGCTAATAAATCCTCAGATTTTACTCGCCAGTGTGTGAGTTGGAGGCTAAACATAAGTTTAGCACAGATATATTTTCACTCACAAGAACACTGACTGAGCGCTTCAGAGTTTCACTTAATGTCAAGCGATCTGTGCTATTTTTCAGTTCATATCAATGGATGCGCAACTATGGAAGTAAAATAATGACAAATATCTTTGAAACAAAAAAAGCCTGTTGAATTGCACTAACTGAAAAAAACATTTTCATGATTAAATTCAATAATTCAGATTCACCTTCTAGAGTTCACTTCAGAAATATTCAATCTGTTTAAAAATACGATGTATAATATTCGACAGGCAGTTTTCGGTCCATTTTATTTCACTTTACAAATTCGCTTCCACATTCAGTGGTTCAAATGTGCCAAATGGTTTGCCAAAAATTCCGCAGTTGCACATCCGGGAGCTGCAGGAATAGCAGTAGAGCACCGATGCATGATCTCCAGCTGCTGTTAGTCGCTCACCAGTAGGTGGCGCAAGCGGCTCTTGATGAAGTCCAAAGCAACCGGTAGCACAAGTCATTCATTCATTCATTCATTCATAAAAACTGATTTGAAGGAATGGAGCAAGTGGTAAGTAGAAGTTATGATAATCAGGGCCAGTATATATATATATGTGGAAAAGCTGATTGCGTTTACGTTTGTGCTTAGTTTCCTTAAAGGGGTCATATGATGCTTTTTTTTAAAGATCATTATTTTGTGTATTTGGTGTAACAGAATATGTTGACATGCTTTAATGTTCAAAAAACACATTATTTTTCAAATACTGTACATTATTGTAGGTCCTCTATGCCCCGCCTCTCTCAAACGCTTCGTTTTCTACAAAGCCCCTCCTTCCGACAAGTACTTACTTTGTAAATTAAAAAGTAATGCGTTACTTTACTAGATACTTGAAAAAAGTAATCTGATTACGTAACTCGCGTTACTTGTAATGCGTTACCCCCAACACTTCGCATAGTAGTAGTAATTATTTTAGCTGTCAGTAATAATAAATATTCAAGTAGTAAACTTTAAATTAAAAGTTTAAGTGAAACATTAGAATGATAATGTGTTAAATACTATTTAATAAAATATATTAATCATCTAATGCAACCCTGTACATTGCGAGTAAATCACTCGCATTTGCGACTAAATCTTCACTCTGGGTGACTAAATTATGTCTAATATTAGCCAATGGCTAATAAATCCTCAGATTTTACTCGCCAGTGTGTGAGTTGGAGGCTAAACATAAGTTTAGCACAGATATATTTTCACTCACAAGAACACTGACTGAGCGCTTCAGAGTTTCACTTAATGTCAAGCGATCTGTGCTATTTTTCAGTTCATATCAATGGATGCGCAACTATGGAAGTAAAATAATGACAAATATCTTTGAAACAAAAAAAGCCTGTTGAATTGCACTAACTGAAAAAAATAATGCATTGCATCAACAGTGCTTGCATTTTAATGCCTTTTATTTTCAGGGCTTGCGTTTTTAGAGGCTAAAATCCAACTTGGTTGTATATTTCAGCTGTAAATATAATTAAAAACATTTCACACATTTTCATGATTAAATTCAATAATTCAGATTCACCTTCTAGAGTTCACTTCAGAAATATTCAATCTGTTTAAAAATACGATGTATAATATTCGACAGGCAGTTTTCGGTCCATTTTATTTCACTTTACAAATTCGCTTCCACATTCAGTGGTTCAAATGTGCCAAATGGTTTGCCAAAAATTCCGCAGTTGCACATCCGGGAGCTGCAGGAATAGCAGTAGAGCACCGATGCATGATCTCCAGCTGCTGTTAGTCGCTCACCAGTAGGTGGCGCAAGCGGCTGTTGATGAAGTCCAAAGCAACCGGTAGCACAAGTCATTCATTCATTCATTCATTCATAAAAACTGATTTGAAGGAATGGAGCAAGTGGTAAGTAGAAGTTATGATAATCAGGGCCAGTATATATATATATATATATATGTGGAAAAGCTGATTGCGTTTACGTTTGTGCTTAGTTTCCTTAAAGGGGTCATATGATGCTTTTTTTTTAAAGATCATTATTTTGTGTATTTGGTGTAACAGAATATGTTGACATGCTTTAATGTTCAAAAAACACATTATTTTTCAAATACTGTACATTATTGTAGGTCCTCTATGCCCCGCCTCTCTCAAACGCTTAGTTTTCTACAAAGTCCCTCCTTCCGACAAGCGCAGTCTGGTGGAAAAGCTGATTGCGTTTACGTTTGTGCTTAGTTTCCTTAAAGGGGTCATATGATGCTTTTTTTTAAAGATCATTATTTTGTGTATTTGGTGTAACAGAATATGTTGACATGCTTTAATGTTCAAAAAACACATTATTTTTCAAATACTGTACATTATTGTAGGTCCTCTATGCCCCGCCTCTCTCAAACGCTTCGTTTTCTACAAAGCCCCTCCTTCCGACAAGCGCAGTCTGCTCTAATTGGCCAGCTGACCGAGTGCATTGTGATTGACCGAACACCACAAGCACTTGTCGGAAATGTAACGCCCCTTACCATAATCGCGAGCTTCAGCTTTCAAAATAAATGTAAAGACAGAGCCCGAAAGGGGAACAGAGTCGCGGGACAGACACAGTGATGAAGCTGGTCTCTCTCTCTCTCTCTCTCTCTCTCTCTCACGCTCTCTCGCGCACACACACACACAGACGATGCGCAAAACTCCGCATTTGAACAGTCAATAGCAAATACTTAAACTAATAACAAAACAGTAGCTGATTCAGAAGCGACAGATTGTCATAGCAAAGTCATAATTACCTCCTCTCCTAGGTTCACGAAACGGTCGTCCATAAAATGCATTGCTGTTCTGTTGTAAGTAATCTTAAAGATTCCTAAATGCATCTACTTTCGGAAGGCCAAATAAAGTGCTTTTGCTCTCACACTGAAACACACAGCGTCTCCCTGACATGCTGCTTCAACACTAACTGCGGTTACTGAAACCACACCTTCTTTCTTTGCGTGAACATTTGGCCGGCTGGCTTGTGTGACCTGGGGCTCCCCTCATACGTCACACTCCAGGATTCCCCAACGACGTGTAACGCGCTTCAATTAACTAATACAGTGATGTCAAAAGACCAAACTCGGTATACACCTTACTGATGATGCAAACTATATACAGTTATGTAGAATATGAACGTAACGTGCAAGGTTTCACGCTGTTTCCGGCATATGTTAAAGAAATGCTGTAGTATATCAGTCTGGCGAGTAAACTAAAAAAATTTAGGTGTCCGTAGAGGGTTGTAATGTCTTCAATCACATGTTACTGAAATAATGTTATATAATTTTACACAATTTATATATTCAAATGGCATGTGCACAGTATGAGAACATGCTGTTCTGGATAATGTATCCCACAATTCAGTGGGACTGACATTTCTACTGTGACATGGTCTGTAAGTCATTACATCTGCACCTATTATATGTTCAGACTGCTGACATCTTTATGTAAAATGTAATTAAAAATACAAAAGCATTGTTTTTATTTGCAGGATTATAGCTGAATCCTGCACACTTAGGACTTTATGAGGTCACTGCAATATTAAATAAGTAGTAAACTATTATTTCAATTTGAACATAGGCAAGTGGCATTAAAGGGTTAGTTCACCCAAAAATGAAAATTCTGTCATTAATTACTCACCCTCATGTCGTTCCAAACCTGTAAGACCTTCGTTCATCTTCAGAACACAAATTAAGATATTTTTGATGAGTTCTGAGAGCTTTCTGACCCTCCCATAGACAGCAACACAACTGAAATGTTCCCAAGACCAGAAACGTAGCAAGGAGATCTGTAAAATGGTCCGTGTGACATCAGGGGTTCAAACTTAATTTTATGAAGCTACGAGAATACTTTTTGTGTGCAAAGAAAACAAAAATAACAACTTTATTCAACAATTCTTCTCCTCCTCATCCCATCTGCCGCCATTGTGCAGAGTATCATGACGCATGTGCATAAGTAATTGAGTAGTTAATGACAGAATTTTCATTTTGGGGTGAACTATCCCTTTAATGCCATTTGTTTGTAATTAAAAAAAAAAAAATACCCCTAGTTTCCTATACAGATTAGTCTGGTGACATTAAAAAAGTCAGTCTAGCTTCATGTGTTCATATTGCCTAATGGTTTGTGGGGTGATTTTCAACCCTGGGCACAGGAAACATGGTGAACCAAAGAGCGGACATAGGTTGGCAGTCCTCTAAGAGCGACTCCAGTGGGGTCAGTAACAGTGGAGAGAGCTCCAAAGAGAGCTCCAGGTGCTCGACCCCAGTACTGGACACCGACCGGCTGCGGGACAAGATGAAGCGGCAGATTGAGTCTGGGGACTGCTGGTTCTCCCTGGAGTTCTTCCCACCTCGCACAGCGTCTGGAGCCGTCAATCTCATCTCTAGGTAGGAAAGCAAAAATTGCTTTATTGTTTTTGTAATTTGGTGAATCTCACATAAACCATATCTGGGTCATATTTCACCAAAAATCTAAAGTGTATATATATATGAGCGGACATAGGTTGGCAGTCCTCTAAGAGCGACTCCAGTGGGGTCAGTAACAGTGGAGAGAGCTCCAAAGAGAGCTCCAGGTGCTCGACCCCGGTACTGGACACCGACCGGCTGCGGGACAAGATGAAGCGGCAGATTGAGTCTGGGGACCGCTGGTTCTCCCTGGAGTTCTTCCCACCTCGCACAGCGTCTGGAGCCGTCAATCTCATCTCTAGGTAGGAAAGCAAAAATTGCTTTATTGTTTTTGTAATTTGGTGAATCTCACATAAACCATATCTGGGTCATATTTCACCAAAAATCTAAAGTGTATATATATATATTAGTGCTGTCAAATGATTAATCGCATCCAAAATAAAAGTTTTTGTTTACATTGTATATGTGTGTGTACTGTGTATATTTATTATGTGTATATATAAATGCACACACTTACATGTAAATATTTAAGACAAATATGTTAAGTTTATATTAAATATATTTATATATAATATAAATATATATATATTGTTATATATATGAATATAAACATACATGTAAATATTTTCAAAATATATACTGAATGTGTTTGTATTTATATATACATAATAAATATATAGTACACACACAATGTAAATAAAAACTTTTATTTTGTATGTGTGTGTGTATATATATCTGTGTGTGTATGTTGTATATCTTTACATATACATCTTTATCAGGCATTTATGAAAATAAAATTTGACAATTTGACGGTCTAATAACTTTTTCTTCGCCATTAAAATAAAATGAACCATTAACCAACCGAAATAAAGGAGCATGATAACAATGCTCATTTAAAATAAACATTCTCAGACTGGCTTAGAGGATTTCACATATAATTTGCATAGGTTACAGTAAAAACAAACAAACACACACAGTTGTGATTATCTTTTATTTAACTTTTCGTCTATATTGTCTAGGTCAGGTCAACATCAGACAAATCACTGACTTGAATATTATCAAACCACTATAGGGCCATTTTAGAGAGTGAGAAACTGATCCTCCAACATTTCTAAAGAATCTGGCAGATGTTCTGATAGAAAACATTCAACTGGAGACTATTTAAAGGCAGAGTTGGTGATTTGATAAAAAAAAAGTTTTGTTATGCTGGTTGAAAGTCTCTTCACATCCCGATAGCCATCACTAAGTTAATGGGTCTAAATGTATTGATGTATAGGTATTTATGTCATCTGTGCAAGGTGAAGGAGCATAAAATGTTCGACCAATCATATCCCTCGGTCCGAGGATAACGATATGCTGTCCTACCTGTCTGTGACTGTATGTATTTGCATACTTTTGCACACCGTGTTCACGCAGACATGATACATCATCAGCCCGTTCATTATGCTATTGCAGACTGAGCAAGAATGGAAGGCGTTATTATTGTAATATTATATGCTATTTTACTGTAATGTTTTCTCACCGGTGAATGAGACATTAGGTAATCTGACAGCATTGACGCCGTCTCTCATCGTGTCGCAGGTTAGTCTCTGGTCTGCCTGAGCCATGTGTTTTGGAGGAGGCGTGGCTTTGGAGAGTGATTTGCAGGGAGGGTGGGATCTTATGCTTTCAAAGCTAGCTTGTTATTGCTAGCCTCTCCAAAATCACCTACCCTACCTTTAAAAGTTGTATGAATCTATTATAAGAAGGTTGGAAGCTGAATTAAAGGCAAACGGAACTACAGTGCATCCGGAAATTATTCACAGCGCTTCACTTTTTCTACATTTTGTCATGTTACAGCCTTATTCCAAAATGGATTAAATTCATTATTTTCCTCAAAATTCTACAAACAATACCCCATAATGACAATGGGAAAGAAGTTTGTTTGAAATCTTTGCAAATTTATAAAAAATAAAAAAACGAATCGCATGTACATGAGTATTCACAACCTTTGCAATGACACTCAAAATTGAGCCCAGGTGCCTCTTGCTTCCACTGATCTTCCTTGAGATGTTTCTACAACTTGATTGGAGTCCACCTGTGGTAAATTCAGTTGATTGGGCATGATTTGGAAAGGCACACACCTGTCTATATAAGGTCCCACAGTTAACAGTGCATGTCAGAGCACAAACCAAGCCATGAAGTCCAAAGAATTGTCTGTAGACCTCTGAGACAGGATTGTATCGAGTCACAGATCTGGGGAAGGGTACAGAACAATTTCTGCAGCACTGAAGGTTCACAGAAGCATGTAGTCTCTGTTACCCTTAATGGAAGAAGTTTGAAACAACCAGGACTCTTCCTAGAGTTGGCCTCCTGGCCAAACTGAGCAATTGATGGAGAAGGGCTTTGGTTAGACCGGTGACCAAGAACCTGATGGTCACTCTAGTTGAGCTTCATGATCATATATGCCAATGTGAGAAACCTACAGAAGGACAAACATCACTGCAACACTCCAAGTTCTTTCACGTTGTCATTATGGGGTATTGTTTGTAGAATTGAGGAAATAATGAATTTGATCCATTTTGGAATAAGGCTGTAACATAACAAAATGTGGAAAAATTGAAGCGCTGTGAATAATTTCTGGATGCACTGTAAAATACCTTAAAAAGTAGCATTGCCTATTTCTCAGGTGTTTTCGCATTATTTTGTCCAACCTCTGTATATTAATTTTGCCTTAACACATTTGAAAATTAGGTATGTTTTTTTTTTTTTGAATGAATGGTCTTTGTGTTAGATTTGACCGGATGGGTTTTGGGGGTCCGCTCTTCATTGATGTCACTTGGCATCCGGCTGGAGATCCAGGCTCAGATAAAGAAACGTCTTCCATGATAATAGCAAGCACAGCGGTCAATTACTGCGGCCTGGAGAGCGTCCTGCATTTGACATGCTGCAATCAGACAAAGGAGAAAATCACAGCCCATTTAAATAAAGCCAAGCGACTCGGCCTAAAGAATATCATGGCCCTGAGAGGAGGTATGAACGGTGACTGATCTGAAATCTGTTACTTTGGTCCAAACCACACATTTTCCAAAAACAAATAAGCTCCATTTCTAACCCTTCTAAGACCGCATCGTAATAGTCAGGGTTCCTCATAAGTGACTGACTTTAAACACTTGTGAATGGCAGCTAGAGTTTTACTGTGATGTATATAAAATTGTCTGTTTTTAAATGGATTGAATTTCAAACTACATTTGAACTATTGATACTTTTTGATACTAAATAAAATTACATTGAAAAAAATCTGCATTTCGTAAGTCCATCCGCCATCATCGTGCGTCATGAGCGAATCTTATTGTCCTTTTTTCTGCAGATCCTATTGGGGAAGATTGGGTAGAGGAAGATGGCGGTTTTAACTATGCTACAGATCTGGTCAAGCACATTCGCTGTGAATTTGATGACTACTTTGATATCTGTGTTGCAGGTGAGCATTAGAAAGACGAGCAATTAATGGTGTTTGCTAAATTGCTATTACCTGGTGGATGATAAAGTTGGCAAAAAAAAAAAAACATAGACTTACATTGAAGTAGAATCTGTTTGTTCATGGTCATTTTTGCATGCAAATCTTTTAAATTCACCAGTTCAAACCTATCACAAATGTAATGATAGGTTACCCCACGGGCCACCCAGAGGCGGAGAGCTACGAAGATGACCTCAGGCACCTGAAGGAGAAGGTTGATGCTGGTGCGCACTTCATCGTCACCCAGCTCTTCTTCAGGGCAGAAACCTTCCTCAAATTTGTCAAAGACTGTCGGGCCATTGGCATCACGTGCCCCATTCTCCCGGGAATCTTCCCTATTCAGGTACATGAACACACGAACAGTCTCTGACCAATCACAGCACCTCAGCGACGTGGACGTCATCCAATTATCTTCGCCAAACACTGGTCATATGATGTCATGTCATTGCAAAAGACCAATAAAGGTCCACTCTTAATGCACCTTATCAAACGACATAATGGATTGTCTTGGAATTTATGCAATGGTGCGATTAATGCATTTATTGCACTACATTTTAGTACAAACAAAGGTCATACAGAGTAGTGTTATCGGACAAGACTACTGGTTATCTAATACAAACTACTGGTTATCTATAAGCCTAAGTTGTTCCAAGCCTGTATTAGTTCTTTCCTCTGTTAAACACAAGAGAAGTTATTTTGAAGAATGTTGGTAAGCAAACAGTTGCTGGTAGCCATTGACTTACACCGTATGAGGGGGAAAAAAAGTAAGTCAAAGGGGACCAGAAACATTCTGGTTACAAAACATTCTTCAAAATATCTTCTCTTGTGTTTAACAGAGGAAAGAACTAATACAGGTTTAGAACAACTTGAGGGTGAGTAAATAATTACAAAATGTTCAATTTTGGAAGAACTGTCTCTTTAATTCACTGGAATATACAAGGACATTTCCACGTAGTTATTCAATATATGAACCACTTTTTTTTTTTTTATCATACTGCCCCATTCATGTCAACATTTGAGTTCTGTATGTGTCACTACTCCAGTTTTGCATGTATGATTGCTATCCTTCTGCTTTCCGTAGGTCATGTGTCTGCCGTGGAACGACGATCCTCTGGCTCCAGAGACAAACCTGCTGAAGGATGAGTTGGAGAAGGTGAACCGCAGAGGGGTTCTGACCATTAACTCTCAACCCAACATTAACGGCAAACCCTCATCCGACCCCATTGTGGGCTGGGGCCCTGCGGGGGGATACGTCTTTCAAAAGGTCAGCACAAACGTATTCAACAGCGCTGTAAGACTAGATTACTCAAATGAAAATTCAGGCATCTTTTATGTCATGCAATGTAAATTAAGATGTTTGCAAGAATGAGCAAACTGCTTTTTCCGTACAACGAAAGACTGGATTTGTTGAGCTCAAATTATATAAAGGTAGTCTGTATGACATGTATTGCATTCCAAGTCTTCTGATTAGTGGTCGGCCGATATATCGGCCTTGAAACATGATATTTGGCATTTTTTCAAAAAATATTTTAAGAAAAAATTAATTAAAATTATATCTGCTTTTATAACCGCCATCGGCCACCCTGCTTTCCAAGATATCGGCTGTCAAAAAAAACAGTATCGGTCGGCCACTACTTCTGATGGAAATTTAAGTCTTAATGCTGAAAGTCATCTTTTCCACTCAAATTCAACACTTTAAAATCTCATAATTCTAGACAAAAACATCAACATGTTTCATTGTAATCCCTCTTTCATGGTTATTGTTAACTTAAAAAAAAAAAAAAAAAAACTAAAACTATAAAATGCTACTTGCAATAAACATTAACTGTAATAAGAATAAAATCATGTATTAATTCAGTTAGTATGTTTAAAGGGATAGTTCACCCAAAAATAATTACTCACCCTCATGTCGTTTCAAACCCGTAAGACCTTCGTTCATCTTCGGAACACAAATTAAGATATTTTTGATTAATTCTGAGAGCTCTCTGATCCTCCCATAGATGGCAATGTAATTCCCACGATCAACGTCCAGAAACGTAGCAAGGAGATCGGTAAAATAGTCCATGTGACATCAGGGGTTCAACCGCAATTATACGAAGCTACGAGAATACTTTTTGAGCGCAAAAGAAAAAAAAATAACGACTTTATTCAACAATTCGTCGTCTCCGCATCACCGTGGTGCCATTTTGGAGAATATCCGCTGGACGTAAACAACGCATGCAGAACGGCATACGTTGTGTCGTTCTTTTTCTTTTGCGCACAAAGTATTCTCGTTGCTTCGTATAATTGCGGTTGAACACCTGATGTCACATGGATTATTTTACCGATCTCCTTGCTACGTTTCTGGCCTTGGGAACATTTCAGTTGTGTTGCTGTCTATGTAGGGTCAGACAGCTCTCAGGTTCCATCAAAAATATCTTAATTTGGGTTTCGAAGATGAACGAAGGTCTTACGGGTTTGAAACGACCGTAATTAACGACAGAATTTATTTTTGGGTGAACTATCCCTTTAAGATATAAAATAGGGGGAGGGAGATTATAAAACTACAAAAACTGGTAAAAAAATGACAAATTTTGGGTAAAATTAAAAAAAAATTATAAAAATTCAAAATATCAATAAATACTATAATGGTATATTAACAATACTATACGAACTGTCACTCCTGTGACATAAAAGAAGCAAAGATGTTTGTCTCTGATCAAACATGCAACATACCAGGTTTGAATGTGCATTCGTTTTATTTGATTCCCCACAGAAAGCTGTCATATGACTTCAGTGGACTTTGAATAGAGCAGAGAAATCACATGGACTAATTTTATTTCTCTTGTACTTTTTGGACAGCAACTATGATAATCTTTTGTGTTCTGGTCATACAGGTTTGGAACGACATGATGGTGAATAAATGCTGATGGTGAATTGTCATTTTGGTTAACTACAACTAAAACTGAGGGGGGAAAAAAATCATTAATTGAAACACTTTAACTGAAACGTATATTAAAAAAAAGTTTTTCAGCTAGTTGCCAAGGAAACATTTTTCATTTTCTTTAGTACTAAAATAACTAAAAATAAATTCAAACTTAAACTATTTTAAATGAAAACAGAAAATATACAAAACAAATTGTAATAGTATATTAATGATGCTAAAAACTGCTACTATGATGCTGTCAGTAAATTCATAGAGTATTATGAGATCTAGTTATTCTAGTTATCTATTTGCTGGTTTATTATCTTTTAGGTTTATTTGGAATTGGCTTACTTTAGGAAATGATTCCTTCAGCATCTTTATTTTTACCTTTTGAAATCAACAGGCTTACCTGGAGTTTTTCACATCCAGCGAAAATGTTACTGCACTTCTGCAAGTGCTGAAGAAATATGAACCTCGTGTGAACTACCATATAGTCAACGTTCAGGTAAACACCAGTTTAAGAGCAAGATTACATCACGTACTCTCCAGTTTTTATATTGACATTATGAAATCATGTCTTTTTAGGGCAGGAATACTACAAATGCCCATGATATGCAGCCCAACGCTGTGACATGGGGCATATTCCCCGGCAGAGAGATCATTCAGCCCACCGTCGTGGATCCAGTCAGCTTTATGTACTGGAAGGTGATGCTTTTTCCACTTAGTAACCACCTTTAACACCCTAGCAACCACTAGGCAATGCAAACTTATTAGGTTGTTTAAACAGCCTGCACATCCACATGTGACAAAGTCTTTATTGACCTCACATTTGTACTCTGTCCCACTGGCACTCATACATTAACTATTAATGTCTCAGTAGCCGGGTTTCCATCCAAAGTTGCGAATTTAACTTATGCGCAAAATTGGAATATCGCATAAAACATTTGCGAACAAGCACCGTTTCCATGCAACGAGTCAAAGAGAACAAAACCGTCACTTCCTAATATAAATCACTAATAAAAGTAGGAGAAGCTACTGAATGTAGCAATTTTCATATATAATAAATTACTAGCGAGCAGACGAAACGCAATGAATGCGCTCATTGCTTTCGGAGGCGGATGTAAGACAATTCTACAGAAATAATTTTGATGACCGACTTTGCTCGCACATTTCCAAATGACCAAAACAACATTTCAGAAGCTGTGGAACAAGATCGGTCCGCTGGTTAGTCAGGTTTTGTGGTCCCGTAGCGCAAAGTCACATGACTTTTCCGATGCGCTTGGAGGAATTTATTCGTAAAATGCATTTCCATCTCCCATTCTTCGCATCAACCCTTTTTCGCACAAGTCAAAAACCACCTCAAGCGAGCGTGTAAACTTTTTGCGAATTAAGGGATTTTTATTCGAAATTTGGCATTTCCAACACTCGTTTCTCATGCGATACTTCAAAATGCGTGTTAAAATAAGGTGATGGAAACACAGCTAGTGATAGTAAAAGATGAACTAGACTCCAGATATAGCTCAGTTCGGTGTGTTCCCACAGGACGAGGCTTTTGCGCTGTGGATTGAACAGTGGGCGAAGCTGTACGAGGATGAGTCGCCATCGCGCATGATCATTCAGTACATCCACGACAACTACTTCCTCGTCAACCTGGTGGACAACGACTTCCCGCTCGACAGCTGCCTGTGGCAGGTGATGGAAGACATGTTCACGCTCCTGGACTCCCCTCGAGAAACTCAGGAGGAGGGAAGTCAATCGTAGCATCGCAGAACACTCAAAGTCTGCCTGCGCTGCTATTGAGATGTCTGGACACGCACATACGGAGTACTTTACTGTAACGACAGTGGTTTTTAGTCCATTTCAGAGCTTAATTCGTCATTACTCCCAACATCTAGGGAAAGCATCATGACAAATGTAGCACTACAGAAGATGATTCGAGTTGATCTTTAAAGGGACTTATGTTTGCAGTTTTGGGTGCCATTTTCTTACATTTGCGAACAAGCACCGTTTCCATGCAACGAGTCAAAGAGAACAAAACCGTCACTTCCTAATATAAATCACTAATAAAAGTAGGAGAAGCTACTGAATGTAGCAATTTTCATATATAATAAATTACTAGCGAGCAGACGAAACGCAATGAATGCGCTCATTGCTTTCGGAGGCGGATGTAAGACAATTCTACAGAAATAATTTTGATGACCGACTTTGCTCGCACATTTCCAAATGACCAAAACAACATTTCAGAAGCTGTGGAACAAGATCGGTCCGCTGGTTAGTCAGGTTTTGTGGTCCCGTAGCGCAAAGTCACATGACTTTTCCGATGCGCTTGGAGGAATTTATTCGTAAAATGCATTTCCATCTCCCATTCTTCGCATCAACCCTTTTTCGCACAAGTCAAAAACCACCTCAAGCGAGCGTGTAAACTTTTTGCGAATTAAGGGATTTTTATTCGAAATTTGGCGTTTCCAACACTCGTTTCTCATGCGATACTTCAAAATGCGTGTTAAAATAAGGTGATGGAAACACAGCTAGTGATAGTAAAAGATGAACTAGACTCCAGATATAGCTCAGTTCGGTGTGTTCCCACAGGACGAGGCTGTACGAGGATGAGTCGCCATCGCGCATGATCATTCAGTACATCCACGACAACTACTTCCTCGTCAACCTGGTGGACAACGACTTCCCGCTCGACAGCTGCCTGTGGCAGGTGGTTGAAGACATGTTCACGCTCCTGGTCTCCCCTCGAGAAACTCAGGAGGAGGGAAGTCAATCGTAGCATCGCAGAACACTCAAAGTCTGCCTGCGCTGCTATTGAGATGTCTGGACACGCACATACGGAGTACTTTACTGTAACGACAGTGGTTTTTAGTCCATTTCAGAGCTTAATTCGTCATTACTCCCAACATCTAGGGAAAGCATCATGACAAATGTAGCACTACAGAAGATGATTCGAGTTGATCTTTAAAGGGACTTATGTTTGCAGTTTTGGGTGCCATTTTCTTATATTTTTAGCCTACATTTTTAACTATTTATAGACTGTATTTTGGATATTGCATATGCTCAATATATGATTGTCAAATCAAGGAACTCCTGTAAGCAGGTAAAACGTGTGGACACAAAATACAGTATATGGCTACTGTATTTCACTTAGACTGTATAGGTGAATCCTATACAAACATGTCACATCCTATGTCAAATAGGTCATATTTTCCTCCAAAATCAAGAAACAAAAGTAGCAATTTTGTTTAAAGGGATAGTTCACCCAGAAAAGAAAATGTTCATTGTTCCAACCCATATGACTTCCATTTATCTTTAGAACACAAAGGAAGACATGTTTTTAATGTTCTCTCATTTTTGTCAATCCATTGAAATTCCATGCAACCAAAATCTTTAAGCTTCCAAAAGTGCATACAGACATTGTAACAAAAAAAAAAAAAGGTGCAATCCAAGTCTGCTGCAGTATGATGATTTTTTGTTTTACATATAATTTACATTGATGTACGCACGTAAACAGAAGCTCAAACATGCATGATTAAATTCATTAAGATCATGTACTTTTTGAAGTTTGAAAGTTTTGCATGCATTGACATTCAACTGATGGGAAAAAAATGCACAAGTTTTATGGATTTGGAACAACATGAGGTGAGTTAATGCGGATGATTCATTTTTGGGTGAACTGTCCCTTTAACGATTTTGAAACCATTCCCTTTTTTTCACTCTTCATTTACAATTTAATTTTTTTTTCATGTTACGGTAATGTGAATTTGGAGTGAAAGTTTATATATATATATATATATATATATATATATATATATATTTTGTGTATATATATATATATATATACACACACACTGGAAAAAATCATCCTAAACCCAGAGAGGTTTTGTGAGATTCCATCTTATAGTTTACTAGTCACGTGTGAAATGATACTAGAGTAATTGATTGTATTTATTTGGTTGGTAATGGTAATTATTTGTGATTACTATTGTAATCGGTGCCATTATGGATCTAAACATTTGAATCCTTTTTTTTTTTTTTTTTTTTTTTTTTTTTAAACGCGGTCTGACCATTTTTGTTCTGCTGGCAATAGAAAGCTGAATAAACATGCGCTCATCCCCCTGTGCTAACATGTCCACATTCTACATCATCGCTGAATTATTTGTTTGCTTGTGACTCGCATAACATTTATATTTGGAGTTCACCTAAATCTCAAAGTCCATGCCTCTGTTGATAATGGTGAAGGATTGGTGCAGCTGCCATCAGCAGATGTTACGTTAAACCTGAAGGGCTGAAGTTACTTCAACAGCTTTAACATCACACTTGTTGGAAGGAAGCCAATGCTATGAACTTGACCTAGTTTTTGCTTGAACAGGCATGTGCTTAAGCATGGATATTAAACGTGTTTTTATATATATATATATATATATATGTGATTTTTTTTCTCTTTAGCATTACTCGGTGCGGTTTGCTTTTTAAAAAGGAGTATCTTGTTTTCTCTAAATATGTGTATGAATCCTTTACATACAGTATCTGGGTGTTTTTAAGCTCTCCGCATTCAAACATTTTTCAGTTTTAAACAAGAGTTTATTTAGCTGTTACATTCATATTCTGCAATAAACATTTTCAATAAAACGTGCCCTTAAAACTTCAAGTATGAGTAATTAAGCATCGGGTTATTTTTAAGCTCTGATTTCCAGGCGTGTAGATACTGTGGAAAGTAAATGAAAAACAAATCTATAGCAAATACTTTATTTTAAGGTGTACTTGTTACAGTGCAATTATACAATTAAGTACTGAGTTGTACTAACATGTTCTTACTATGGGGTTAGGTTTTATTGTTTGGAATTATGCATAACTTACTGTTATTACTATACATGTAGCATGTATAACAAGGACACAATAAAAGAATTGGAATATATCTAGAATTTGTAAAAAAAAAAAAAAAAACTTAAGAAACTGAAAGAAAGTTGATTTTCATTCATCATAAAGTATTGCACATACTTAAAAAGGTTTTATTACTGGACAAGGAAAGTATGGAAATATTCTACACCAATACTTCATATAAATACATAGTACAAACCCGATTCCAAAAAAGTTGGGACACTGTACAAATTGTGAATAAAAACAGAATGCAATGATGTGGAAGTTTCAAATTTCAATATTTTATTCAGAATACAACATAGATGACATATCAAATGTTTAAACTGAGAAAATTTATCATTTTAAGGGGAAAATAAGTTGATTTTAAATTTCATGGCATCAACACATCTCAAAAAAGTTGGGACAAGGCCATGTTTACCACTGTGTGGCATCCCCTCTTCTTTTTATAACAGTCTGCAAACGTCTGGGGACTGAGGAGACAAGTTGCTCAAGTTTAAGAATAGGAATGTTGTTTGCTTAGTACATTGGCAAACTAAGTAAATTTCATTCCACTTGAGAGGAGGCAGAGTCAGTAAACTGACACACTCATTCTAAACTCACTATAGGGCCTTTACATAAGTGAACCCTCTGAACCGCTGGCATTCCTTAAGGAAGCTCTGGGAATTCTGCTTCTTCTGGAACTGCTGTATCTACCAACACCTGTGCACTAATATCAGAGTGAGGCGGACTGACCAGACAGAATGTCAGATACTTTAAAATATCTAGTGGAAAATGAGAACGTTAGTGAATTGCTTCATAAGTACTTAACATTAACCAGTACCCTCTGCTCACTTACAGCACTGAATGGGTTACAGTTAAGACACACATTGGAATGTTTTAGATTAAGGGGTCCTTGCCCTGAAAATGTTGAAGACCCCATTTTAGAATATTTATCTTGTAGAGTCTTTCGATGCACTATGTACTCAACCATGTATAGTATGAATTCTATTTGTCATTCATAATCGGAGTCTCATAGCCCCTCCCCCTTCGGTACGTAATTAAAGCTGCGACAATTGAGTGCATGAAGTGTCCAACATTCCACAATTCATTTTTTCGGTTATTTAATTGCATCATCCGGGTATTTAAAGTGCACTTATTCTCTTTGGAATTTTCAGTGTGAATGCACTATATTCGCACTATTTATACTACAAAATGTCATAGAATAGTGCATAAGTACGCAACTTGGGACACACCTTTTATTTATATTAACAGTTTCTTGCAGTCACTAAGTAGTCATTAAAACTAGTTTAGTATACAATTAAAGATATCTGAAATCAAACAGCTAGTTAAATAGTTCACCAAAAATGAAAATTCTGTCATCTACTCACCCTCAAGTTGTTCCAAACCTGTATGAGATTCTTCTGCTGCTGCACACAAAAATAAGACATTTTGAAGAATAAGTTTAACTAAACAGTTGGTGAACCCCATTGGCTTCCATAGTATGGGAGATTTAAAAAAAAAAAAAAAAAAAAAAAACAAGTAGATAGAATGGAAAAAAACAATAGAGAACGCTAGTGTTAGAGGGTCAATTTTTTAAATAAAAAGAAAAGTTGAAAGAATAGAAAACGCTAGTGTTAGAGGGTCATTTTTTATGATAAATAAAAAGAAAACTAGTAGATAAAATAGAAAAAAAGAAAAAGATGTAAGTTATTTTTTTGTCAATTTTTTTTCTTTAAAAAAGTGTTACAGGGTCAAGTTTTTTTATATATATATATCATGTATGTATCATATTTTATATTAACAGTTTCTTGCAGTCACTAAGTAGTCATTAAAACTAGTTTAGTATGCAATTAAAGATATCTGAAATCATACAGCTAGTTAAATAGTTCACCAAAAATGAAAATTCTGTCATCTACTCACCCTCAAGTTGTTCCAAACCTGTATGAGATTCTTCTGCTGCTGCACACAAAAATAAGACATTTTGAAGAATAAGTTTAACTAAACAGTTGGTGAACCCCATTGGCTTCCATAGTACGGGAGATTTAAAAAAAAAAAAACCTTGTGGAAGTCAGTGAGGACCATCAGCTGTTTTGGTTACAAAGATTCTTTAAAATATCTTCC